TCCCAAACTATCTTGCCACTGCTCCCCATGTAGTCTGGGCATCTGGGGGGCTCCTCGTGACTATCTTTTTCGTCGTAAATCCGAAACCTATAAGTATAGCCTGTTGTCCTCTCACAGGTCTTTTACATCTTGACCCCATATCTGGCACGCTTGCTGGGGAGAAATTGTTTGAATGCAAGGCGGCAAGAAAAATTAATGAGGGACTCATCAACGCAGATTTTTTGCTGGGGAGTATAGACATCTGCAAATTTTTGGTTAAGGTGATTTGCGAGGGGCTGAATTTTGTGGAGCCGGTCAAATTCAGGGTCACCCCGAGGACAACAGAGTGTATTGTCGTTGAAATGCATAAAACACATTATACTTTCATATCTTTGCCTGGCCATGGCAGCAGAGAACACGGGCATATGATAAATTGGGTCTGCGGACCAATACACCAGCAATTCATTTTTTTTAGTAATGCCCATGTTGAGGGTTAGGCCCAAAAAAAATATAAATTCATAAACCGTAATGAGTTTCCATGCGACTGGTCTGGCAAGGTTTGAATTTGGGTTGGCGGCGATAAATTGTTGTGCATATAAATTTCTTTGATCCACAATCAATGCATACAGATATTCCTTGAAAAATGGCTCCAAAAATCAAGGGGAGTAGTTAAATTTGCTATTTCCACCTGAATTCCGGGTTGGGCAGTGAATGGGGGAAGTACGGGTGCTGAAGAATTTGTGGGCTGTCAGTCGGGATTTGCAAGCACATCCGGAAGGTTACTAGGAGCTCTACGGGCTTGTGTGCGAATTCTTTGTGGTTGCAGGACAATACTTGTGCTCGCCACCGCACCAGCTTGTACTGCACTCATGGGGCTCACCACGTCGCCAAGTCATACTGCAGTGCTAGTATTTTTATTATTATACAGGATTTATGGCGCCAACAGTTTGCTCAGCGCTACAATATAATGGGCGACAATACAGAACAATACAGTTCAATACAAGAGGGTTAGGAGGGCCTGATCCTGGGAGCTTATAATCTAAGAGATATGTGAAAGACCAGGATGTACTAGGTCACTAGTACTCGCCAGTTCACCAAAAGGTAGCGTGGCACTAGTACTGGCACTCTGCTGCATATGAGAGTCATCAAAATTTATTGACAAGTGCTAACAGAGATCAGGCCTGATTCTGCGAACACTGCGGTTTTGTGTGTAATATATAAAGTGACAGTGACCTACTGACGCTGCACTTGCTGGGGGAGAAGGAGGGGGGGTAAGCATAGGGGCTAAACGCAGGTGCGGGGCTGATCCCGCTAACGCTGCGTTTTTGGGGGCACTATACTAATGTGAACGCTGGTATAGTGCTAATCTGATCAAAGATATTGATCCGTTCAGACACTATACTAGCAATGGAGGTTTATTGTGCATGAGTGTGTTCCTGGCAATCCGTGCCACTCTGTAGCAGTATTTCTGCTATAGGGCGGTCAGGAAGCAGTTTGTGTTACGTTGCTGCGTTACTTTAACTGAGATTTGCGCGGTCATGCAACACTGCACCCAAATTAAATTTACGTCCTTTTTTTTTCCCCACAAATTGAGCTTTCTTTCGATGGTATTTGATTGCCTGTGTTTTTTTTATTTTTTGCGCTATAAAAAAAAAAGCTGAAAATTTTGAGAAAAAAAAAAAACAATATTTTGGACTTTTTGCTATAAAACATGTCCAGTAAAAAAATTAAAAAATTGCGTCATAAATTTTGGCCAAAATGTTTTCTGGGACATGTCTTTGCTAAAAAAAAATCTGAATATGTGTAAATTATTTGGTTTACGTGAAAGTTATAGCGTTTACAAATGGCGGTATAGATACTGGATTTTTATACTAATGGTGGTGATCAGCGACTTATGGCGGGACTGCGGTGGACATTCTGACACGGGGGGGGGGGGACTGACTTGGGGTCACTGACATCCCCCAGTGACACCAATACAGTGATCAGTGCAAAAAAAAAAAAAACAACACTGACACTGTACTAATGGACCTGGGGAGGTAGGGGGTTAACTTTTTTTAGGTAATGAAAGGGTTAACTGTGTGAGGGGAGTGTTTTACTAGGGGGCGGGGGTGTGTGCTTCACAGGAACATGCTGGTCCCGAGAGATGAACTCCGCTCTCAGGATCAGCGTGCTCGGAACTGACAGGGAGCCGGTAATCGCCAGGACCCGGCGGGTAATGACCAGCTGGGACCCGGTGATTGACACTCGCGGCCGCGATCGGCGGCACAGGTATGGCGGTCGCGCACGCCCCCTACCTGTTTTGCAGAATGACATTTTAAAACGTCATTCTGCGCAGCGGTGCCGCCCTGCCGCATTATAAACACTGTGGCTGGACGGCAAGCAGTTAATACAAGAGAGGATTTCGCTCACTTTTGAAACCGCAGCTTGGCATTGCATGCCATTATTAAGCTTGTGATCTACCAGAACTCCCAGATCCTTCTCAACCATTGATTCCCCCAATTATCCCGCCCCCCCCCAGTATGTATGATGCATGCATATTCTTAGCCCCAAGTGCATAACCTTACATTTGTCAATATTAAACCTCATTTAAGTAACTTGAAGACATCCTGTAAGGACGTTATTCCACTGCACAGCTTTGTGTCGTCTGCAAAGACTGAAATGGTATTTTTAATCCCAGACCCTATATCATTTATAAATATATTAAAAAGTAAGGGTCCCAACACTGAACCTTGGGGTACACCACTGACAACCCTAGACCATTCAGAGTATGAATCATTAACCACTACTCTTTGAATATGATCTTTTAGCCAGTTTTCTATCCATTTACATATGGATTTTTCCAGGCCCGTAGACTTTACCTTACACGTTAGCTGTGTGTGAGGAACTGTGTCAAACGGTTTTGCAAAATCCAAATATACCACGTCCACCGCCACCCCTCTGTCCAAGTTTTGCTCACCTCATAAAATCAGATTTGTTTGACAACTTCTGTCTTTCATGAATCCATGCTGTCTGTTGCTTAAAATATTTTTTCCAGCAAGAATTCATCTATGTGGTCTTTTATTAAACTCTCCAGTATCTTCCCAACTATAAAAGTGTTGTGTTAAGGGGCACTGCAATGTAAAGGGGGGCAATGATGTGAAGAGGAATGGAGGACACTGTGGGACTTCTTTAAAGAGGGGACTGTGATGTAGGAGGACTACAGTGTGAAAGGTACGCTAAAGATAATGTACCCGGGGACTGTGATGTGTTCTATCGCTAATGAAATTGGGACCTCTGCTGGAAGGAAATTTTGCTGACTGGACCTCTGTGAATTTTAATTCAAGACCCCTGTTTTAGAAGATTGTTACAAAGGTCGCCAACCTGACAGGCTGGGTGGGAGTCATAAACACCTTGTTGGTGCAGAGGACTAGATGCTGGAGGAATCTCATCTCCCAGTCATCGTTCTGGAGTGTTGAGCGATTTGGTTGTTCCTACATTGCTTGAAATTTTGATTGAAGGGTCATCAGTTCGGGATCCAGCTGAACAAAGCCAAAAAGCCATGACAGTGATGTACATCAATCAGGGAGGATTCAGAAGTCTTGCTATGGCAAGAGAAGTAGAAAAGATTCTCTCCTGGAACCTTGGTTTCCTGCCTAGTTTGTCTACATTTCAGGCATAGACAATTGACAGCCTGGCTCTCAGTTGGCTGCGCTTGGATCCAGGGGAATGGGCTCTACACCCAGAAGTGTTCCAGAACCTGTGTCAAAGGTGGGGAATGCTGGATGTTTACCTCCTGGTCTCCAGTTTCAACCACACACTGGAATGGTTTGTCTTCAGGTGAAGAAACCCTCTGGTAGAAGTAATGGATGCTTTGTTCAGTAGAACCAGATATACTCCTTTCCTCTACTGAAACCCCTTTCTTGTTGGCAAAACAGGACCAAAAGGAAGGGCAATTTGGTGATCCTCATAGCTCTGAATTGGGGCTGTTGGATGTGGTACTCATACCTGATCAGACTCCTGACAGACATCTGTTGACTCTTTCAGATAATTTGAATCTTCTGTCCCAAGGACTGGTTTATCACCATGCTTTTTTTTTTCCTTTTGCTTGCTTTTATGACATGGCTGAAGTCCATGGTTTTGAGGGAAAGGGGTAATTCCAAATCTGAGATTCTCACCATTGTAAAAAAACGAGGAAGTCTGCTTCCTGGAAGTCTGCCATTCCACATGGAAGACACACTGTGCTTGGTGCAAGGAAAAAGATTTCCATCCAAAAAATATTCAGTGGGACAAATCCTAACTGTTTTACAGTCAGTCCTGGGTCATCATTTAGCCCTGAGTGCGACCCAGGGGCTAATCTTGGCACTTGAGATCTTATTTCAAATACTGCTATCCTCCCTTTCCATTCCTTGATTAAATCTGAACTCCAGGAAACCTAAACCCTTCTGTGTTTATGATCTTTGTTCCCAGTACTGCTTTGTTCTTTCTTTAAAATAAATAAAAAAAAAAAAAACAGGCCTGCTGTGAGTGTGCAGGATTTTAGGATTTTACCACGTTAGTCACTTTTTTTTTTTTGTCAGTTTCTAAATCCTCCTGTAGGTGGCAGGCAGCATAACCCAGTTTGTCAATGAATGTCTCACAGGTCCAAGAAAGGGATTTTCTGGCGAGTAAGAAAATCCAGTTTTTTATTATATGCAGCAGCGTTGATCGTTCATGAGGAAGCCTGGCATGTGACTGCAATGCACAAATATGGGTAAGCTGGGCTCAACTAGTTTGTGTGGTACATCTAATGGTAATGGGAAGAATGATATCCCCAAAACATGAGCCTGATATATTGCTTGAAGGCTATAAAAGATATAAAAAGCAGTTCTGAGGCTGTTAAGGCCATATCCAAATCTGTTACCAAATTAAAGTGCAAAATATAAAAGCTAGAACATTGAAAACCACTACATCACTGAAACATGAAAAAAAAAAACCTCTGGGGTTTGTAGAATGCACTCAATGTCTTACAATTTTTTTTTTTATTTTTTTTTTTTTGTCTATAGCAGTACACATCAAGAACATCAGTTTTAAATATGTGCAGCGGAGGAGAGCTGAAAAAACACTCAGAATATACTTTTGAGGTGGGTGTATGGTTTACACATGGTGATTTACATGTATTTTCCTTGTTCTTAACCCCTAGACGCTGAGTGCACGCAAATATGCAGCCACTCGGCGTCTGGGCCTTGACGCCGTGTGGCCGCATATTTGCTTACCATTTGAAAATACGTATGTGGTGAGAGTGCATGCCCTGCACGCTCCCAGCACATATGTCCGTGACTCATGGAAAGGTCCTAATCTCCCCTTGTGATCGGAACCTTTTCCGATCATGTGACCGCCATCACAGCAGTCACATGACCCTAAAACCCCACCCCCCTTCTGAAACTCTTAAAGGGCCGGGAGGCACCGGCGCAAAGGGGTTAAGCTTTCAAAGATATTAAAATGTTTTGTTTAGACCAAACTATATATATATATATATATATATATATATATATATATTTTTTTTTTTTTTTTAACTCAGTGGGTGTTCCACATTGAAATATGCTGCAACCACCTACCAGGCATTTGACACGTGGTTGGGTGCATCAGGAGGTGAAGTGGTAATGTGAACAGGTCAGAGTGGTAGTCACGAAAGTAGGACACTAGGAGTCTTGGAAAGTCAGGGAAGAAAGGAAGCACTGGGGGGTTACTTAGAATCCTCTCCTGAAGTCAGGGACACTAGGAAGAATTGGGGCACTCCTAGTGTAGAGAACTCCAAGTCACTGGGGGACCTGGCACTAGGAACACTAGCTGTTGCTCAGGCAGTGCCTGAAGGAATGAGCCTAGGTTAAATATAAAGGGAGACTGTCTTTCTTTCTATAATAGAATCAACAGTAGGTGGTTAACCAGTCTTGAACTTAAGTCTTTGGGATAATTGTCACCAGCAGAGCCTTGCAAGTTAAATTCATGGCACTACATGTATCTGCATGATTGCTTTGGGAATAGATTGATAAGCAGCAAAGCTGCTTTTTGGCAACAGTCTCATTTTTGTCCTCAATAAAAATGTTTATAGTATGTTAGATTAGATGACAAAAGTTATAAGATGTAGAACGGACAAGGCTTAAGAATTGAGTTACTGAGTTGATTAAGCATATCTGTTTTCATTTTATTTTAGGTGACCTGGTCCGATAACTCCAAAACTTCAGTAACAAAGTCATATCGGGAGTTGGCGGAATTCCTGTTAATGGTATTGCCTGTTTCTGATATTGTGAAAATAATTAACTTTATGCATTCACAAAGCAAAAATTATGAACACTTGGTGATCTGGCCAATAATTTAGGGAAATAAATGCTCAAGTTGCCACTGCTGACCTCCCCATAAAACGAATTGCTTGGTTGTAGTTAAACAATTCAGTTTTGAAGCCAAGGACTCAATGCTACAAGTATTTTAGAATGATTTAAGGGTTTATCCTGTTGGGGTAGAAGTGTTGAGTGTTATGACTGAATGTAGTGGTGTTGCCCAGAGTATCCTGTAAAATGTAACTGTGTTAAAGTGGATCTTTAGTGTGCAGATTTAAATTCCTTGCATGTGCAAAAATATGGGAGGTTTCCTGCTTCCCTATTAGAGATCTTTTGTGTGGCAAAACCAGCAAGTGCGCAGATGCAGAGTACTCCAGGACATGCCCAGATGTACTGCAAGGATCCATAGGGATCTACGACACATCTGCTCACTCACTGGGAGTGGTGACAAAGTCTTGCCTAGGCAACAATGGAAGTACTGCTTTACAGCACAAATAAAGTGCTAAAAAAAAAGTCCAATAAGGAGGGAGGAGAAGGCAAGGGAAGACAGCTTCACAGTTTGGGCGAAGGTCAGCTTTAATTAGACAGGACACTAAACTTGTATTCTTCAACCATTGGCTATATGGAGCTACTGTCAGGTGATTGGACAATAGCAAAAACTTGCTAGAGGCCCCCCAGAGCACACCATATAACCTCACCCACTCCATGAGACTCATTTGTTTTGCTAGTGTCTTTGGGTGATTTGACCTTTTCACTACTGGAGAGGTTTTTCTCTGAAACTTTTTTTTTCTGAAACTTCTTTTAAGACATAAGTGCTTAACTTCCCTGGGCTGTTTAGCAACTTTCCTGATTGGTTATACTCTGTTTGTACCTTGGGAACTGTAACCGGACACCACTGTGTAAGGCTGGCCTGTAATGTTTACTTTGGGCACTGGGTCCTTTGTGGTCACAGTAGCATGTAGTGCAGTGCATGGAGTAGGACAGGAGGCAGAAAAAGAACACAGCATCACCTATAAAAAGTCCTAGCTGGTATGAACACCCTCTATGCTATAGGCAAGCCAGTTATTTCTGCCTAGTGTTTTAGGAATAAGGACATAGTTCCCTGCTGGGAGCTGAGGTTCCATAGGCTTTTTTTTTTTCTTGGGATTTTATTCCTGTGGGGACCTTTCTTCAACAGCCAGACTTGAGTGATGAGCTGAATAATCTAGATTCAGTGATTACCCCAGTCTGGCCTAAGAGCACAGAGACCTTTTAGCTTCCACACTGGTTGGCCTCGACAAGCCCCATCCTGGACCGGGGCTGCAAGCGAGTTAAACGTCTTGCGTGGGCACATATGACCGGGAGTCTACAGTCCATGTCACAGTGCTACCCTGGCTGACAGCCCCCCACTTCGATGGAGATAAGGGTCTGTCTGGGGACTATTACCCGCAAACTCCATGGATCGGTAAGTAGATGTCTCCCCCCTCCCTTCCCGGGTGCGGTGCGGGTCGCGGACACTCCCTGGGGTGGTCAGCCCTGTAGGGTTCCTCTCCTCCCCTTTAGGCCAGTTGGTTGGCCCTGTGGGGTCTCATCCCCCCTCCTGGACTAAATTGTAGTCTTTTCTGCATGCTTATTAGCGGATCACTTGGTCCAGGCCCAAAGTACCTTTGTGAGCCATCCTTGGATGCTGCTCCACTTCTTACAACATTTCCGTCTTGGCAGTGATGCTTCTGTGGGTGCTGTCCAAGCTTCTACAAACGTGTTGACGGATATGCCATTCCTGGGAGAAACTCTCTTCGGTGCTAGCTTGGATGAAATCAATAAGAGTCTCTCGGGAGGCAAGAGTACCTTCTTCCTACAGGCCTGCAAGGGAACTAAACTGCCTCTGAGATTCAGAACCTTTCTTCCTGCCCTCTAGAGGCTTTTCTGTTCTCCTGGCTCTTTTGACAAGGGCCCCAAGCGCTTCCAGGTTCCTGTTGGTGGTACGCAGAGCTGCTGGTTGCACAAGTCCACCAAGGCTGCAGACAAGCCCTCCGTCTAAATGTTTGCCCCCACCTGTTTCCAGGATGAGAAGTCATCTTCGCTGCTTCGGGGCCAGTACAGGGGTGTGCAGGATCTGCTGCTCCAGGGAGCGATAGTCCCTGTGCCCGAGCTTGAAAGGATCCAGGGTTTTTTTTTGCTGCAAGCTTTTTACGGCTCCAACAAATGTTTGCCCCTTTTTGGACCTCTATGACCTGGCACTGCTTTATTCTGGTGCAGAAGTTCAAGATGTAATACATCTGTTCGGAGGTGCTTTCTCTTCATCAGAGGGATTTTCTGGTGTCCATAAACATCAAGATTGCATGCCTGCACATTCCCACCTATGAGGGACATCAGCAGTTGCTTCATTTTGCTGTGAGGGTCATAAATTATCGTTTTGTGGTACTCCCTTTCAGGTTGGCTTGTTTTCGCCAAGGTGTTGAAGCCAGTACTGGTTTTGCGTAGACAATTGGGGATTGCGGTGATGGGTTATCTGAACGACCTGTTCCTGTGGGAGACTCCCAGGCTGCACTGACGGACAACATGGAAATTACGATGTGCTCCCTGAAAGTCTTCGGAGGGGTCCTGACGCCGACCCAAAGGCTGAAGTGTCTGGTCCCAAGCCTCAGCTTGAAGCATGCCACAGTATTTTTCCTGGCTGATGAGCTTTGGACTGTGGTTCACCTAGTCTTGTCCCATGGACAGTCCTCCTTGCAGTCTTGCTTGCAGGCTCTGGGTCTTATGGTGTATACCTTCAAGGCGGTCCACAGAGGGAAAACCTGTTGCCTTTGGACTAGTCTTCTGCTTACCTGGCTGACCAGATTCATCTGGGCTTGTGGATGAGGGCCTCCCTCCGCTTGTGGCTCCGGTCTCCTTCCCTATAAGCCGGGAAGTCCTTCTCTCCTCCCTCAATGTATGGTAGCCACGTCTGGCTGGGGAAGTATCCTGGATTCAAGATCAGCACTAGATCACTGGACTCTGGAGGAGGCTCGGCCAACCATCATTGACCTTGAACTGTGAGTGATCAGTCTGTATCTGGAGCACTGCATGGATCTCTGGGGTTCCAGGTCAGGTGCCAAGTGGACAATGTCACCGTAGTGGCCTATGTCGATCATCGAAGCTGAGAGAATGGCAGGAGAAGAGCAGTGTAAATAGTGAGATAACGCTAAATGTCACTGCTGGTTTTTAAATGTAATTACCGCCTTTTTTTCCCCCTGCACTATAGCTCCAAGAATGAGCTGTCATTCTCTCTTCCACTAAAAGAAACTAAGGGGCAGAGTCACTGGGTAATGTCATTAGGTTACCCCGCCCCATAGTTTCCCTTGGCAGTGGGGAGAATGACTGCTCTCTCTTGGATATATAGTGAAAGAATAAAAAGTCAGTAATTCCATTTAAAAACTGGCACTGGTTTTTTTTTTTATATGCAAATGTGTTTAGAAATCCTTCAGCGCAATGAAACCTCCTAAAAAAAAATTGTGCAGCTAGCATATAATGTGTTCCCACATGTAACTAAGTAAAGGAAATGAAGAAATGCAGCTCAACAATATATAAATAAATATAATGGTGCTTACAATCTAATGTGTATGTGTGTGTGTATAAATAGTGAAAACAAATTGCTGTGCTCGTGAAGATCAGTATATGCTATTCAAGATGTCTTCCAATGCATACATATAAACACCCATAGAAACTGCATATAACCAGTACTATAAATATAGTGCATACAAAAATAAAAACTTTAAATCCTAAATGCCATCATGTGGATCGGTGTGGTACACTTCCTGTGTATCGTGATCCAAATACACCAACAAAAAGTGGTGGACCGTCTCTTTAACCACTAGGGGACCGCCCACAGTAGATATACTGCGGCAAAGCGGCCCCTGTAGGCAGGATCACGTATATAAATGTGATCCTTGTTTACATGGTAGGGGGCGCGCGCCCGCCCTGCCCGCGGCACCGATCGCAGGTGTCAATCACCGGGTCCCGGCCGGTGATTACTGTCGGGTCCCGGCGATTGCAGGCAAACAGTGACACAGAGCACAGCTGCATTGTTTTCACTGCAGCTCTGCTCCCTGTCAGTTCCCAGCACACTGTCTGAGAGCAGAGATTAGCTTTCTGGGACAGCATGCAACAGTGAAGAACACACCCCCCCGCCCACTAGTAAAACTCTCCCCTCACACAGTTAACACTTTGATTGCCTAAAAATGTTAACCCCTCCTCCCCAGTGCCATTATTACAGTGTCAGTGTTTTTTGCACTGATCACTGTATTGGTGTCACTGGGGATGTCGGTGAGCCCAAGTCAGTTCCCCCCAGTCTCAGAATGTCCACCGCAGTCCCGCCATAAGTCACTGATTGCCGCCATAAGTCACTGATCGCCGCTATTATTAATATAAAAAAATCCAGTATCTATAGTGCCATTTGTAAATGCTATAACTTTCACGTAAATCAATTAATTTACATGTATTGGGATTTTTTTTTAGCAAAGACATGTCGCAGAATACATTTTGGCATAAATTTATGACTAAATTTGATTTTTAAATTTTTTTTACTGGACATATTTTATAGCAAAAAGTCCAAAATTTAGTTTTTTTTCTCAAAATTGTCGGGTTTTTTTTTTTATAGTGCAAAAAATAAAAACCGCACAGGCAATCAAATACCACTGAAAGAGAGCCCAATTCATAGGGAGAAAAGGATTTAAATTTCATTTTTGTGTAGCGTTGCATGACCGCGCAATTGTCAGTGACGCAGCGCCATAACACAAACTGCTTGTGTAACTGCTTCCTGACCACCCTATAGCAGAAATACTGCTACAGGGCGGCACAAGTGTGCAAAATCATATATATATATATATATATATATATATATATATATATATATATACACACACACATACATACATGATTCGCGCTCCCGTGGTTTTCACACCCCTCCCAGATAGTGTCAGATTGCCTG